GTAATCAGATTACTTTTTTCAAGTAACTAGTAAAGTAACGCATTACTTTTTTAATTTACAAGAAAATATCTGAGTTACTTTTTCAAAAAAGTAATGCCAGTTACTTTGTTTTCCCATTTATTGACTGACAGCTCTCCTGTCACCATATTGGGAGAAATCGGGAGTACAGAGGCGTTGTGTGCGCTGTGTGAACATGATGTTACTGTAGTTCTAGACTAAATGTGAATGTGCATTAATTCATCCCACTCGCAAAAAAACAGATTTAGTATTCATCAAAATGAATTAAAACAGTGAAATGCAAACTCAATATGACGCAAACCTGCAATAATTAAATATGTTAAATAATACAAATGTATCTAATCCCATTAACCAATATCTTTGCTGCTGACCTTTGATGATCCAGTTCAACCATACTAATAAGCAAAAATGACTTTAGAGAAACTAACAATTGTGCTTAGTTTTTTATTGCTGAAGAGTGTTTCTTCTCCTGCGTTCTACTGTACAGACGTGAATTTACTTTTGCTTCAGCCTGAGGTTTATTCATTACACTTTTTGGTGTGAAAGGGCTTTTATATTTGCTATAAATAGAACTTCTTATATTAAAAACAATCAAGCCCTGCTTATATTTAAAAAGTAACGCGAAAGTAACGCAAAAGTAATATAACGCATTACTTTCCATACAAAGTAACTAAGTAACGTAATTAGTTACTTTTTTTTTAGGGAGTAACGCAATATTGTAATGCATTACTTTTAAAAGTAACTTTCCCCAACACTGGTCATCACAATACCTCACAGGACTATGATGACATCGCCAAAATAAAAAAAACATACAAAAAAATGAATATTTAAATAACTTTAAATATATATAAAAAATAAAGATTAAAATGTCGCATGTTGCATTTAAAACGTCTTAGTTTTTCATTCGGCGTGAATGCGGAAACGCCATTTGCCTAAATAGTAACGTTATCCTCCTCACAAACAATACATGCTGCATATTCTCATGCTGATAACTTTAAGACAAAAGACTAATAAAACTCACCAATAATGCAAAAACTTTCCAGAACTGGCCTTTAGATATCCTGACCACTGGCGGTAATTGGGTTTGAAAGACATGCCCGGCAGATCCAGCACCTCATCTGGATCATACATGCCGCTCGCGACATGCACAGACACGGACAGAAGACAGAAGAAGACACGCAGAGAAAACATTTCACACAGCCTTATGGACATGGACCTGTACACAAGGCTTGAAGACTCCTGCGACCCTGCGGTTTGCGTTTCCCTTCCTCTGCCTGTCATATGACTTTAACAGTCGTCGGGTAATGCGGACAAACTAGACTCCGCCCATTTAACCAGACTCTCTCACGCTGTATCAGTGTGTCACCTTCTTGTTCTGCTTTTCCTTCAGATGATTATTATAATCAGATTAAGGATCATCATAGCAAATAACATAGCAGATTCATTCAAATGACTTTGCTGGATCAGCTAGGTAGGAAAAATACAGAAGAGCAAATGTAGACCTATGTATAAAATATAATTGGTTTTTAAAGTAACTTTAACAAATGCTCGAAAGAGCAGACAGACTGCAATATCTAACCCTCATTAACAAAACCAGAGATTTTAAAAAGGTTTATGCTGAAAAATAAATTAGACCTCTTTTACAGATATGTTAAACACATTTTAAAATTCCAAATTTTCTGAACATTTTTGCTACATTTTAAAGAATTGTTATAGAATAATATTGATTGATGTACGCGTAGCTTAAAATAGTACTTTAATTGCAGATATGTTACTGCATTTATCCAAAACATGCGAATGAAAAGGGACAGGTATCAGTATGCATGATGGCTTCTTCATACACAGCATATGTTTTTAATTGTTATATTTTTATCAAAGGTTTACTGTTTTAATTAAATAAAACCTGAAATGTTTTTTAGACCTTCCTTTCAAATTCCAATGCATTTCCAAAGAAATCATGTTAATAAAGTGCAGTACACTTTTTGTCAACAGCAATGTTTAAATTGCGTTTTCAATACAATATTGTATAGTTGAACAAGATGAACAATATTTATAATTCATACATCCAAACTGACCAAGCATGACTGGATAGGATACTTACACCAAAAAGTCTTTCAGACTAGGACATTTTTATAGCTTGGTAGTTGGATGAATTCTGTTCATAATCAAGTCATCAGTAAAACACAATAAATCTAATTCATCCTCAAGAAGTGCTGCAGAAGATATTTGGAAAAACCCATCATGCCCCTGGTCCAAATGACAAGCATGAGTCTTTAGGTGTACTTAATGTTACTACTTTAAACCGATCCTTCGTTTTGTGGCCAACCATTTACTTTTTCTGTGTATTTAAATATTTTTTGTTCTTTTTAAGTTGCATGCATGAGAGTTTAACTGCATCTTGCAGATGAAGAACAAAAAAAAAAGGTTGACAACGGAGCACAAAAGCAGTTTGCTGATTTATCATGGAACATCCCTTTAGTGATTGCACTGAAACAGTAAAACATACAATAATACATGATTGTGCAAAACCAAACATGCATCTAGTGTTACTGATTAAATCCATGAGGAATTTTCATATGTAGGCATTATTGAAAATTGGAGCGTGTGGTACAAAAAGGGGTCACCAGCACACCACAATTGTGACTTGCACAATTAAACTGTTAGGAGAATGGTTTAATGGAACCAATAAATTCTCATTCTCACACTTCAGTACCAGAATTTCTCCCCTAAAACAAAATAAACACAAAATAATTGAGTTTTCAGTTAACCATCTCACTCACGTACTGGTGAACTAATAAAATCAGAGATAATTGCACCCTTGGCCTAAAGCAACAATTTCATGAAAAACACATTCAGAAGATGTGGCTAAAACAACAATGCATACAGTTTAAATAATTATCATTTTGTGTCACTTCTGATCTAAAGTCTCTCTCTCTCTCACACACACACACACACAACAACAAACATCACATTACAGTAGTGATCACAATCTCTTCTGTAATGTGTGTAACTCAAATAACTTTTTAAAATGTACTTCTGACCTGACTGGGATGATTCCTGGAGAAACGTCTTTGTCGGGCCAGATGTATTTGACGATGATTATGATTGTCACATACCAGGTGCCGATAACACTCAGGGTGCTACAGATTAATCGGTACAAATGTGCATGTATGATTTAACCAGCAAATACTGGTTGGACATCTTGGATAATCAAAAGTGCAATTTAAGCAAAAACATTTGCACTAGTCACAGCATGTGACACAGCACTGCATAAAACAATAACTTAGTTAAACAATATAGGAATAAAAACAAGACGTTTCTACCTGGCATACTTCTGGAAGCCAATCTCTTTGGGTATAGACAGAGGAAGTATGATCAGCACTGAGGTCAAAGTGATGGTGAACTTGCGATCTGTGTACCAGTGCGAACTAATCATCTTCTCCGACTCATGATTTATTGCGCCAATCACTGTAGGAAGAACGACAGAAAATTAGACTACTCTCTTTAGACTATTTTGACATCTATATATATATGTGAATGTACTTACGCTTGTCTAACTGATCGCCAATTATAATAAGGAAGGCTATGCAGGTGCCAAAGGTGTAAACAGCAATGCCCAGCTCACATACGACACCAAGAACCTTCCCACACACAGCACGAATCACCTCCTGATATGTTGTTTCATTGCTCACCTAAAAAAATGTGGAGTGTAAAGCAGTGGATTTCAGCCTTTGTAATTCTGAGGTCAACTATTGTCAAAGTCGATATTCAGCTAGGGCTGTCAATACAAAAACCGTAACTTACATGACGATTCCTCTCAAGATTTTTGTAAATAGTGATTTAATACATTGTGCCTCTTTAAAGAACAGAAATACACTACCGTTTAAATGTTTGGGGTCAGTATGATTTATTAAAATGTTTTTGAAAAAAAAAGAAAAAAAAAAGTCTCTTATGCTTACTAAGCTGCATTTATTTAATAAAATGCAATTAAAAAACGGAAATATTGTGAAATATTATTACTATATAAAATATCTGTTTTCTATCATAATATATTTTAAAATTGAATTTATTCCTGTGATGACAAGTATTTATCATTATTATATGTTAAAACATTTTAGCTGCTTAATATATATATATAAACTGAGATATATATTTTTTCAGGATTCTTTGATGAATAGAAAATTCAAAGGAACAGCATTTATTTGCATAAGAAATCCTTAGTAACAATGTTAAAAATCTTTACTGCAACTTTTTAACAATTAAATGCTTTCATGCCTTGCTTTGAACGGTAGTGCATATTCTCTTGATCTATGACACAGATATTTGCTTACCTGAGAACAATAAGCCAAGATCACCAGCCCAGTGATGATAAAGACCATCATACACTGTGAAAGGTTAAAGATGAATAAGGCTCATTTGGAATTTCACAACATTTAACTTCAAAGAACAGACACCTCTTCTTCAAGTGAACACTCTATGTAAGGTTTTGTTTACAAAAGTTTATAAGTGCATCTCACCATTTGAAGGGTCACTCCGGCTGTGACGCCTCCAGCCATGTTGAAAGCAGCAGGAAAATTGAGAAGTCCGGCTCCCAGAGCAGCATTCACCACAATAAACACAGCCCCAAGTAATGAAGTCCCTCCCCTTCTGTCGTCAGATTGATTAGGTGGTTGGATGGAGTCCACACTGGGGCTCTGCAGGAGCCATGCTCTTTCACCAGCATCCTCACTGTAGCCCCAGTCACCCGCTTCACTGTTAATCGCCCTGTCTGCCCTCGACATGACGCTTGCTTTTCTCAAACACTCTCAGATAAACAAGGACACCATCGGGCAAAAGTAGAGGCAAACACACTTGTGCTGTCAGTCAGAGCCGCCACCATTGAGGGGACAAATGTGCAAACACACACCTGGACTAACACACATCCACAGAGTCCATACAGTTACAGAGAGGCTGTCGTGTTTTGTGATCAATGTCACCTGTGAAAAAAACAGAAAGAGAAAATATCACATGGCAGTTTTCACAAACTGACAAACAGTTCATCAGCATCATAAAGTGACATAGGACAAATTTGAATTGACAGGACATGACTGCATTACTCAGCTGATCAAACAGAACTATTATTACAATTTAAAATAACTGCTTTCTATTTTAATATATTTTAAAAGTCTTCAGTGTCTCGTGATCCTTCAGAAATCATTCTAATATGCTGATTTGGTGCTCAAGTAACAATTCAATGTTCAAATTCAAAACATTATGACTGTTGAGAAGAGTATGCTGCATATTATTATGGAAACCATACCTTTTTTTCAGGATTCTCTGATGATCATAAAGTTCAAAAGGACAGTTTTTATTTGGAATATAATGTCTTTACTGTCACTTTCGATTGCATTCATCCTTGTTGATTAAAAGTATTAATTTCTGTCAAAACAATTTTGAAAAGTGTATTTGCGACTTGTCTGACAGATGTTTTCACGAATGGACTAAAACGGTTGATCAGCATCATAAAAAGACAACCAGTGTGGTTTGCACTTTAGGACACGTCTGTAAGTCACGGGACACGACTGTATTTCTCAGCTGAGCAGTAAGCAGAAATTTCAGACAAGTGATGAGGAAATGAAATATGCTGTCCACAGGAGAAAAAATGCAGCATTGTCTGAACCTTATCTTTAGAGCAGCTCGATTTCTTGAAATCTCTATCCTAAATGTCCTAGGACGAACAGAAGATAGTGGTAGAAGTTTATAGCAGTGACATTGCCACAATGTAAAGGGATTATCCTAACAATGAATAACTCAAGATTCAATCAAGACATCAGGCCAAGTCTAGGCAACTGACATTCATGATCAAACACTACTAGGCAACACCTATTTCATTCGTAACTATCACATGCTCTATATTCACTGCTCTAGGAGGGTAAACAAAACATGCCATGACAAAGCCCGAACAATCACATGACTCACATAGCAACACTGCATTTGTTTAGCTAATAAACTCTCCCGGTACGAACAAGATGTGATAAAGCAGATGCCTCACCTCATGTGTATGTTCTTCGCTGATCTTGTACTGTACTGAAGAGCATCGGTGTGATGTTTTTCAGTGAGGAACAGAAATAAAGATGTGGCTGCTGCCGCCTCCGCTGAGATCTGCGAGGTATGTTTTGCTTACACAGCAGCAGCAGCAGCAGCTATAGGTGTGTTCGATTCAGACCGATCAGTGTATGACATCAAAGTACCGCGAGAGCGATGCGAACGCATACGCAGCCGTCTTCGCTCTCGCGGTACTTTGATGCAATACACCGATGAGCTTCTTCTTTTGGTTTTATGGCGGGTTGCGAACCAACTTCATAGGTGCATACCGCCACCTACTGTGATTATTTCTTTTTTGCTTGTTTGATTTTCCCCCTAGCCTGAGCTCTTTCTTCACCTATGAGCTTCCTCTTCTTCCTCGGTTTTTTTTTTTTTTAAATCGTCCTCCTCCCATTTTCACCTCAAAATTATGGGGAAGCTGTGCCTCCCCTGCCTCCCCCGACGAGCCGCCACTGCCCATTTCATGAGAGAGAAAAAAGAAAAGAAAAATAAATAACAAAAAAAAAATCTAAATTCTCTTAATCAGCTCTGTTCTCTTGAGATAAAGAAATAAACTCTCTAATCCATAAGTAAATTTTTTTTTTTTTTTTTAAGCTTTACTTCCTCCATTACAAGTGTATGTATGTATGTATATCTTGTATTTTTGTTTTGAAGTTTTATACTTTCCTCCCCCTGGCAATTGTTTTTTGTTTGTTGTAATTTGTCCTTCTATCTTTTTATTTTCTTATTTTAATGTTGTTTTATTGTGTGTTATTGTTCCGAATAAAAAAAAAAAAAAAACGATCTGTCTGCGCAGCGCCGCTTCATATGGAACGTTTGACGCTGCAGTCACATGACTTTCAGCTTATGGGTAATGTAGTCTATTCTACTGAATAGATATTATGTGTAATATCTAATTTAACATCTCTGATAAGGCTCCACTTTGCGCCATCTATAATGTTTGTGGATGAATCTGCCCTCACTCTTTTTTTTTTTTTTTTTTAATATGTCCACGTTGCAATATTTTAAAGAAAAAAAAACCTTAACTTCTTTGTATGTGCTTCTCTTTTGGACAGTCAAATATTTTCTGATACATTTAGATAGATTTATTTATTTTTCTAGGTAAGGTTTTCTTTTAAAAGTGTCAATGGGTACCCATTATCTGGATACCCTTTGTATCATACTGTGTAGTGTATATAATATTTTTGCATTCTTATAATGTATATTAGATGATTGTACAGTGTATACCCCTAGAAACAGACCATATAAAATAGCTGTTTTTAACAATGCAAATAATACAAAAACATATTTTAGATTTTTCCTTTGAACAGATTGATATTTTTGTAGTAAAAGGAGTAATTTATTTACTACAAGTAATATCAAGCAATCCAATTCATCCCCTTTAAATTGACACCCAAGACATAACATTTATATCTTTTCTACAGCACTGCTGAACTACAAGGAAATACTCTTTTATTTTTGTTCACATAAATTGTAGTGTTGAATGCATCTTGTCCATTCATCTGTCACCTAAATTACTGAGGAAGAAGAAAAAAAATCTAATAAATGTCTTTGTTTAATTTAGGGGAAATGTAAGTTTATCAATTAGCTTGCAAAATATGACTTTGATTAGAAACCTAAATGGTGCAGAATCTTTTAAATTTTAAAAACTTTTAAAATCTTAACTTTATTTAGTTTTAAATGAAAGAGCCAGCAGCTATTGAAAGTGAAAAGAAAGTGACGTGACATGTGGCCAAGTTTGGTGACCCATACTCGGAATTAGTGCTCTGCATTTATCCCATCCAAAGTGCACACACACAGCAGTGAACACACACACACCGTGAACACACACCCAGAGCAGTGGGCAGCCGTTTGTTTGCTGCGGCGCCCGGGGAGCAGTTGGGGGTTCGGTGCCTTGCTCAAGGGCACCTCAGTCGTGGTATTGAAGATGGGAGAGAGCGCTGTACATTCACTCCCCCCACCTACAATCCCTGCCGGTACGAGACTCGAACCCACAACCTTTGGGTTACGAGTTCGACTCGCTAACCATTAGGCCACGACTTCTCCCTATTATAGATAAAAACACAAAAAATGTGTCTACATCACAACGGAGTACAAACACTGCTGTTATAATCCTTGATCTGATCACACACTTTGACAGGTTTTTGTACAAGTGTACAAAGAGTAAATCTAAATTCATTTTCATTCAAGAAAAAAGGGACTGTAATTTTACTGAGTTTCAATGTGGTTTACTGTGTGTGTTTTGTTGTGTGCCCTAACAATGACAATAACAAAACATCAGTAAATGGACACAATACCCTTTATTATTGTTGTTAATTTTACTTCACTCACACAATAAATAAAGTTCATACAGAATTTTAACAGGATGAAAAATGTTCTCAAATGTGCTTATTGGTCACAGAACCACAAGATATCCTGTGAAATGACTTAAGGTTACTGTTAGACACCCTGATAACATGTTCAGGATTCATGTTGACCTAGCAAAACAGCCAAATGAAGTGAAGCCGAGATCTGAGTCCAAAGAGGAATAGTGGGGCGGACTAACAGAAACAGGACTAGTAGACCAATCTCCTGTCTCAACATAAGTTTGATCTACTTAGTGACCTGATGAATGGCATGTGCAAGGTATCCCACATTTCCAGAGGTCACACCGGCAACGCTGATACGGCCATCTTTAGTCATGTAAACAGAAAACTCCTTTGTCAGACTCTCCACCTGAAACACAACAGCACCTCCTATTAGAGCTTGCACCAATTTACATTTAATTATGCATAAGCATAAATATTCTCATTTTTGAGTAAGCAAAGGGTTGTACCTGCTCAGGTTTGAGTCCAGTGAAGCAGAACATGCCGATTTGGTCGATCACGTGTTGCCAGTTGTGAGTAGAGCCCTCCTTCTTCAGATTAGTCACAAGCATTTCTCTCATTTCAATGATACGGTCGGCCATACCCTTCACCTCCTCCAGCCTACAGAAATACACGCATGTCAAAAAAGGCATGAACTTTTATAAAAGCAAGTTATTAAGGAGTCTCACCATGTAGAACGCAGGTCTGGTGTGCTGAGGATCGTGGAGGCGATGCGTGCTCCATTCATGGGTGGGTTGGAGTAAATGGGGCGAATCAAGATCTTCAGCTGAGACTCCACCCTCTTGGCCTCCTCAGCATCAGCACACACCACGGTGAACCCTCCAACACGCTCACCTACAACAAACACAGTCGTATGACTATGGTGGTGTGTGAAAATATTAGAGTCAAAGAGTTTGTGGTCAATATGTTTTTTGCTTTTTAAATTTTTTTACTTTTAGTCAGCAAGGACTACACTGATCAAATGTGATTTACAAAGTTGCAAAATATCTCTATCTATTCATCAAAGCAAACTTTTTCTGTGACAGACGTAAAATATATTTTAAAATACAATACAAAAGAAAACAGTTATTTTAAATTGCAAAAAAATATTGCTGATTTCTTTCAAAACATTAAAACATCTTACCAACCCCAAACTTCTGAGCGGTAGTGAATGTAAGGTATGTATTGCTTTTTGCTCAATGACTTCATTTTCTTTGGATTTTTTGTGTTATTTTCTGCCCTAAGTCGTCATTACATTTTTTTTTTTTTGCGCTATTAGGACAGGCTGTGTGTCTGTCCAGCCTACAGAACAGATGCATTTAAGGGACACACTGTGCTAAACTTTATTGACCGGTTAAATGTTACAAAGCGTTACACCCTGTATCTATGATGTTAATTACATTGATGTCATATTAATAAGTGTGCAGTATGTGGATCTTTTATCTAAATTATTTTTTAACTGAAAAAAAAAAAAAACATTTGTAAAATTTCATACACTTCTAAAATAATTTTTTTTCAATTAAAAAGTAAAAAACTGTCCTCACCAAATGGTGACCAAAAAAAAAAAAAAAAACATATAATGTTAACATATATAAATAACATATAACAAAATATATTGGATAATTCATAGGTCAGATGACCAGATATCAGATAAATGTGAGTCATGTTTTTGTTTTTTTGCAATTTACACACATATCAAGATCCAATCTGGGCTGGATACTGGTAGAAAATAAAAAAGGAAATGGTTTACAGTGTCCTACACACAATATACTCACCATAGAGACCCATGTTCTTGGCAAAGGACTGAGACAGGAGGACGTTGTGCCCCTGCTCAATGAAGTATCTCACAGCCCAGGCATCGCGATCAATATCTCCACTAGCAAAGCCCTGGTAGGCCATGTCGAAGAACACTAGAAGTTTCCTCTTCTGCAGAGAGAGAGTGGACAAGAAGATGCCAAGCAACATCAGGTCAACGGTCTGTAGTATCTTATCAATTAAGAAATTAAAAGAAACATCATTATTTTTGCTATGCTTTACAAATAATGCCTATGTGAAATGAAGAAGGAGGTATGAAATATAAAAAAAACAAAATCACAGCAACAGACACACGCACCTTGATGACAGCCGAGAGCTCCTTCCACTGCTCTGGTCGGGGGTCGACACCAGTGGGGTTATGAGCACAAGCATGGAGCATGATTACACTATGCTCTGGAATTTTCTGTAGGTAAAGAAAAGATGATAAACATTCAATGCATCTCAGACAAGCATTTCTAGTTCAGTGTCACAAAATCATTCTAACACGCCGATTCGGTGTTCAAGAAACATTTCTTATTATCATCAATGTTGAAAACAGAGGTGCTGCTAAATATTTTTGTGGAAACTGCGATACATCTTTTCCAGATTTTTTTATGAATTCAAAAAATTCAAAAGAACAGCATTAATTAAAAATAGAATTTGTAACATACAAGTTTTTACTGGCTCATAAGAATGTATAGGAAAGTGTACAATGTGACGCTGGCTCACCGAGATGTCATCGAGTGCTCCAGTAAAGTCAAAGCCACAGGTAGCAGGATCATAGTACCGGTATGCTTTCAGCTGCATACCAGCATCACGGAAAATAGGAGTGTTTTCCAGATTTTTTTATGAATTCAAAAAATTAAAAAGAACAGCATTAATTAAAAATAGAATTTGTAACATTATACAAGTTTTTACTGGCTCATAAGAATGTATAGGAAAGTGTACAATGTGACGCTGGCTCACCGAGATGTCATCGAGTGCTCCAGTAAAGTCAAAGCCACAGGTAGCAGGATCATAGTACCGGTATGCTTTCAGCTGCATACCAGCATCACGGAAA